CTGGTCGTCCGACTTCAGACTGAACTCAGACCAACTCACTGAGCGCCGTGGCGACTGCTACTACTACTACTACTTATTATCTGTGGGAGAGTCTATTAACAATAGAATAGGTATGTTCCGGTATAACAGAGGGAAGTTTAAATGCAATTTCAGTCATTATCTTCAGTCTTCTTAATTCTTGTTCTTTTATTCTCCTCTCTGCTTAATAGAGTTTTTTCATTTGTTTTTTCTCATATTCTATATCACTTAGTAATCTCTTGCGGCTTAGTGGTTTTATTGCCTTGCTTGGGTTGAAATGATTAAAAAAAAGATGCTGCTTGTTCCTTCAGGTCTTGGACTATTGCGACTCTACTCAATTTCCTGTCCTTTGAAGGTCTTTGTAAATTTTGCGTTTACGCTCTCTCCCCTAATCCCTGTCCTGCCAAACGTTTACCCACGCTAATTATGTAGGTTATTCCCTGCTCTCCTCTGTCTTTCTTGTCTTTAATATGTATGTCCTGGGAATATCAAAGTTTCTGAGCCGACTTTCCTCATTATATGCTTTAGAAATGTCAACGATCTTTTTCTTATATTAAGTTACAGTGTCCTTTTTGTTTTTATTTTCTCTAAAACATTGTCGTTGCTCCTATGCTATGCTCAGCAGCCTCCTTTTTTGTTACCTTCTTCATCTGTGATGAGATTTTCCAACATTCACTGAAAAAAAGAAAACCGAATTTATATAACAGTTACTTTTTTTTCTTTCTTTCTAACGAGATTTTTCTGTTTCTTAATACTTTGCTTAGGTTTTCGAAGCATCTTTCGCTATCGCGCTTTAGAATTTCAGTGTCGTATTTTCTGTCCGCTGTTAAAAACACTTCCTAGATATTTAAAATTTTATATTTGCTTGATTTTGGCATCTCCAAATAGTTTTTCGCGTGTTCAGTTCCTCTTTTTGCTGACAATCATACATTCTTTCTTGTGAAGCGTTTTAAAATATAAAGCAATAAGAAAAAACAAAAAACAATAAAATAACGTAACATTCGTAAGAAAAAAAATTAAGGAAAAAGACAGAGAGAATGAAAAAGAAAGCGAAAAATAAAATGTAAAAATAATACAAAAAGAAAGAAATAAGGAAACAACAATAAAAAGAAAAGAGAAAAATAAAGGAAACAGGATGAAAAGAACTGCGCATGTGCAAAAACAATGTCAGACGTCAGCGATGCGGACGCGCCATAAATCTGAACATTGACCAATAAATACGGGACGTCAGAACAAGCTGTCCCCTAATATCTCGGCAACGTTGATTGATGACCAGCGGCAGCCAGGCGTGACCACCACATCTATGCTGACCACAGTTATCAACTTCCTCCTCTTTTTTTCTCTCCTTCACCTTTGTTACCCTTGTCCACAAGAAGGAACAAGAAACCTTTGTGGCCAGGATCGGTGATACTGAATGACAGACGTCTGGAGAAAGCAGCGGGCGTTGAATTGAGAGGAAATTGACCCCCCCCACACACACACCACCATAACTTTTTTTTATTATTAAAGTCTCGGGCACCTTGCCTTGAGAAATAGTCGCGTAATGGAGAAATAGATTATAGAATTTTTTCCTCGTGTGGGCTCAGGATCAGTAACTGGTTGGTAGGTTGCTGTTGGGAGCATAATGAATCGGGGTTTAGAGGGGTTTGGGAGAAATCTCAGCGACAAAAAAAAAGAAAAAAAAGAAAGACATTAAATAGTTTGGGCTAAAACTAAAAGCAATCTAGCAGATATTTTTCTTGTTTTTCAATAAATCGGTCGAGAGATTTACAAAAAGTGTGTAACTAGATTTTAAGAATAAGGTAATTGTTTTATTTAGCCTCTAAAACAAAAAACAGTAAGCGAAAAGGAACTTTGTTGAACTAGATATTTGTTAAGTTTATTCTTAAATTCTTTACTAACAGTTTAGTTTTACTCTTGAACTTCTCGCTTGTGGAACTCTCTTCCGGCTTCTTGCTTCCTAGTCAACTTTGATCGTCAAAGATTTTAAAGTGATATTATTCGCTATCTTCTGTCTTTTTAAATACACTTCTCCCTCCTTTATAGTGTTTTTTTTCTCAAATTCTTTCACCCTCTCTATTTGCGATTTACCGTCTTTATTACCTTTCTTCATGTAAAATGATTAAAAAAAATCTTATGAGCGAAAATGAAGATTGTATTGCCACAAACTGTTATTGTTATTTACATTCTGATTATCGCCTTCTTTTTTTCTTTATTTTTTTATTTATTTACTTTTTTATTTATTTATTTATTTTATTTTTCATTTATTTACTTTTTATTTATTTATTTATTTTTATTTTTTATTTATTTACTTTTTTTTCACAACATTAAGACCGCTGTACCATCTGTTTTTTGTTTTTTTTTCATCCTAATTTCAGTTGATGTTCATCTTGCAGTGTTCGTAAGAATATTGCTTTGAATTTATTTTATTAGATAACGCACAATCATCCATTTTTAATTTTCGGCTGGTATATTTAAGTCTTAATTCACTTACTTATTTCCACGAATAATATGAGTTCTTTCAATATTATCTTGAATGTTATTATTAAATGGATCAGTGTCAACCATTATTATTTTTGTTAAATTCTTAAATGTTAATTTCCACTAGCTGTATCAGGTCTTGTAATACTGAATTTTACTACTAAATATATCATTACCGAATATCATTACATGTAAATAACATTTCTTTCGTCTAATTTCTCTTAGTTTATTTCCTCTCGTAATAATCGTCGTAACATTATTTGCTTGAATATTTTATTAAATGAATAATTGTCAACCTTATTAATTTGGGGGGTATTATTAGTTCTAGAAATACGAAATATTATTGGACTAAACCACCAATAATCTAGTTGGGTTTATTTTAAAAGTTGTTCATGATAAAAAATAACGAGTAAACAATATTATCAATCTTATTAGTTACACAAACCAGTGGATATCATATTTACCACATTGCATGAAAATTTACAGTCAGAACTGATAAAAGGCGTTGTGTTTTTTAAAATAATATTTTTTATTAACTATTAGTTAATAATTAGTGAAACATTTCCCGGACCAGAAAATAATAAATACAAAGAAACAACTTAATCCAAATATATCCTGATTAAAAGTATGAAAATAAATTATTTTACGATATCAGTAGATATATGTTTTACTACCTTATATTAAAAGTGATATTTTTTCTCCATAAAATGCATTTTGAATAGAAAATCAAGAATTAATAGACGATAAAATAAGTTTCATTGTTTTAATGTGGTTGGTAGTCACCACTGCGTTGAATTTTGGACTAATAGCTTAAATCTGGTCTCGTTCTTTTCAAAATGAGTGCAATTTTTATGATACATACTTGTTACTTCCTCGCATTTATTTTAAGAAACGAATCGACAGCAAATCTGCAAGCATCTATTTATTTATTTAGCCTCAAGTCTTGTAATACTTATAGCCTCTTCACCTTTCATGTACTTATTTATTTTTAAATATGTTTTAATATAGTTATATATATATATATATATATATATATATATATATATAGTTAAATTCCCAGATGAATTCTGTGGACAACACAGATTGGTATCAAATGACAATTGGAAAAAAATCTTATATTTTGCCGACGCGTTTCGTCTTCCAACATTTTCAAGGCAAAATTAAATCGAAATGTTTTTGTTGTTATAGTTACATTAAAAATCCAAATTTAAAAAGATAGACGCTTCTGTCTAAGCCTTTTTTTCTGGTTAATGTAAATTACCTTTATAGTCAGGGATTATTATTATTATTATTATTATTATTATTATTATTATTATTATTATTATATATATATATATATATATATATTATAATTATTTTATTATATATACGTACATACATACATACATACATATATATATATATATATATATATATATATATATATATATATTCAGTTGTAGAGATATGAGTGACACTAGATTCACGTGTTTGCAATCATCAGAAAAACTGATTTATTTTTTTTAAATTGGATATATCTATGCTGTTTGGCTATGTTTGGTGGTGTGGGAGGGGGAATCTACTTCTGTGTTTGTTTGGAGTGACACTCTCATGCGTATAGACACACATACACACAGGTGTACGCATTTTGATTCATACAAACACATATATATATAAACAATCCGAGGCTAGGCGCAGATACATATCCCTATCTATCTATCTATCTATCTATCTATCTATCTATCTATCTATCTATCTATCTATCTATGTGTGTGTATGTGTGTGTGTGTGCGTGTGTTTATCTCTGTGTGTGTGTGTTTCTGTGTGTGTTTGTTGTGTTATGCATATTTAAATTTACTTAATAATGTTATGATATATTTTTCACACGATTAATGCTTAAAATATAAAATGCAAGTGTTTATGTACGCGGATTGATATAAGCGTTTGTATCGAAAACAAATAATACATTTCCTATGTCGTAGAAACAGAAAAACGGTCCTAGCCGAAGAATCCCTTGTCTAATTTTAATGTAATTTGTCACTAAACTTGGCAAGGGTTCAACGTAGAATATGCCCCTAAATTGCTTGAGATATTGTGTACTTTTTCAGCTTAGTCTCGAGAACACATACATGCATACAAAATTAGTGTTTTAGTAGAATATAGATGTATCATTGTCAAACATTACTTGTAACTCGTCACCTAGGACAATCCCGATGTTATCAGTTCTCGACTCGGTTACTATACTGACAACACGACTATTTACTTTCGTCTTAGGGGTGCACCTAAAAGGATTTGATTGGGTGAAATTCGTAACTGATCTCAAAAAGACGAGCTTCAATCTTTTCCAGGAAATAGTTTCTTTTTCTTGATCTTTTAACAGTTTTTAAAGAAATTCTTCTTGTTTTTTTCCTTTTTTTTTGTGGATTTCCATCAGCAAAAGTCGACTGACTCATTGCGTCTCGTCGAGTTAACGTTTTCTACTGAGCTGAAGTGGAACGATAATATTGCATCAGTTGCTAAGTCTACTGCGAGGATAGATAGATAGATAGATAGATAGATAGATAGATAGATAGATAGATAGATAGATATGAACAGACTGAGATAGATATGAACTGAGATAGATAGATAGATAGATAGATAGATAGATAGATAGATAGATAGATAGATAGAAACAAACACAAATAGAAAGAAAGAGACAGAAATAGATAGATAGATAGATAGATAGATAGATAGATAGAAACAAACATGGATAGAAAGAAAGAAACATAGATAGATAGATAGATAGATAGATAGATAGATAGATAGATAGATAGATAGATATGAACAGACTGAGATAGATATGAACAGACTGAGATAGATATGAACTGAAATAGATAGATAGATAAATAGATATGAACAGACTGAGATAGATAGATAGATAGATAGATAGATAGATAGATAGATAGATAGATAGATATGAACAGACTGAGATAGATATGAACTGAGATAGATAGATAGATAGATAGATAGATAGATAGAAACAAACACAAATAGAAAGAAACAGAAAAAGATAGATAGATAGAAACAAACATGTATAGAAAGAAAGAAAGAAACAGCGATAGATAGATAGATAGATAGATAGATAGATAGATAGATAGATAGATAGATAGATATGAAAATATTGTGATAGATAAATAGTGAAGAGAATTAGATAGATAGATACATAGATAGGTAGAAACAAACATGGATAGAAACAAAGAAACAAAGAAACAATGAAACTGAGATAGATAGATAGATAGATAGATAGATAGATAGATAGATAGATAGATAGATAGATAGAAACAACAGGAATAGATAATCGTGTAAGACTCCCGAGGGGATGCTTCCTCAGTCACTACAACTTTAATCACTTCAAGGCTAAAACCAACCATTATCTATTCTATATATCCTCAAAATATGCCACCCACATACTCTGTCCTTTCACGCCCTTGAATTGGATGAACATTAATGAAAAATAGCTTTGCGTGAACCACTCGAAGACGATTAGAAGATAGAGAGATGAAGAACAGAATATTCACTCTGACCTCTGCTCGATTGACGGACAAAGGAGCTTTCTTTTTTTAAGTCAGGCATTGTTTGTATTTGGCGATTTTATAATTATAGTCCTTTTGTTTAATTCCTTGCCTTTCTCTCTCTCTCTCCCTTTCCATACACTCCTACCCATAGTTTATCCCGTGTGTTTCGATCGAGTGGTTCATGGATCCTTGGCGATCTGTCAAATAATGGCCAAGTTTCAGAATTTGAACATTTAAATTAAAACCATGAATTTTGAATTAGGATCTAATCCCGGCGCCACACTGGACAGAAGGTCCGTCGAAAATCGAACACATTGTGGCCGAAGTGACTGACCTCCTGTGTGAATTAGCGTGTCAAATATTGAAACTGACATGGAAAATCTTATTAAAATGAAAGAACATCATACGCCTATCCACAACTAACCAACAAAAAATGATTATTGTACCAAAAACTTCTATCATATTTGAAAGTTCTAATAAACGTAATCTGTTTAAGATAAAAAAAAAATTGATGGTCAAAAGCTGCTAATAATTTTTGTTAAATAATACTGTCTAAAATTACTGATAATAGGAGTACTCTAGAAAATTTCCTTTAGAAAAGAATGACTTTATGTTTCCAAACTTGAAAAATTAGCACAAACCTATAATATGAAATTAATAAATAATATAAATTAAAAATTTCGTTCTTTACTGTTTCGCTTTTATTAAACCTACAAATGTGTGAGATCATTTTGTCTCACTCTGTATATTACCACAAATCACAATGGCTGACCGCTCGCTTCTCTGTTGCAGACACCTACTCAGACAGATTTTGTGTTTGTCCAGCACCCAGACAACCCACCTGTATTTTCTACTGCAACGATGCTGAGTGGACTCCTTAGAAGGGAGCGCATCTTCTGCCGTGATCAAAAGTTTGAAAAACCCTCAGCCACGATGACTTGTGCCTTCGTGCTTGCACAACCACCGACAAAGAATTCAGTCTGCCTAATTTCCGTCTGAACACTTAGCTCAAACCGTCGTGTATCGTTTTCATTTTTTAAAGAAGCCGCACGCTTAGACCGCCTCACCAGGCTGATAATGTCAAGGAGTAACCTTCCTGCTAAATCGACCATTGTCAGATTGGAACCTGAGCCTCATTGTCGGACAGCGAACATTTGAAACAGTCGGCTCCGTGCCCACAAATCGTGCACAGATATAAATAAAACATAGCAGTACCTGTAATACTTTTACGGTTTTTGAATTATTTAATGAATCAAAATGAGTAATTTAATGATTGAATAAGCTCTTTACGATTTCCATGATAATAAAATAGACTTTTGCTAAAGAAACTTATCAAAATGATGATGATGATGATGATGATAGCAGTAACCACCACCACCGCCACCACCCCGTATCTATCAATGAGGTTATGTAGTGCAGGTTTAAAAGCTGAAACCGATGGTTTTTATTCTGGCTGCAAAGGACCAATGCTTGCTAACTAGAAATTTCCAAGCACACATACTGAAAAATTCTGTTATGTAGATTCTTTGGGAAATGGCGGCACACGGCCCAGTGGATAAAAGAGTTGTTTAGAGAATCCAAAAGTGACTTGACCCAAAGTGTTGTGATTTCAATACCTGGTCACAGCAGGGGTGAACAAAGAATTTGGGTTAATTTGCAGTGTAACACCCGCGCTCAGCTCGCATTAAAAATTTCCTAAGTACTTACATTTATGCGTAATTTTTCATGCTTCATTCGAATCTGGCTTGATAAAATTTACCGTTTTGGAGTTATCGACAGTGAGATTTGGAATTCAGTCGTGTCGTTGGCCGAAAAAGTTGGTGACGTTTTCAGGTGGACAACATATTACAAATATTAAGCATTTAACCCAAACATAGGGGGAGAAAAAATGAATTCATACCTTTCCCGAGGGTATTTACGCTAAATGGAAGGGAACAATTTCGAAAGGAAATTCAAAATTGTTTCGCTCGTTTGACGATTGCATCTCTTTTTTGATTATGGTACATTCTTTCTTTCCCTGTCTCCAAATACACACCATGTCCTTCAAGATAATTTCTAATATATTTCTAAAAAATTAACATAAATTAATATAATTATATTATCTTCAGTTTTGTTAACGTAAATTTTAAAATGATAGGAATGTTTTCCTATCTTTTATAGATTAAGCAAAAGTTTTGTTTGTTTTATTTTGTTTAGCGGCACATCAAAATCTCTATGGGTTAATTAATGCTAAAATCTAAATATTTTGAACACAATTGTATACCTTCAACTGCAGATAAAATGTATGGCTGGTCATTTTGCCTTAAAAAATGTATTGTTGATAATTTTACTATAAATATGTGTTGCTGGTAATTTTTTTTTAAATGTATTTTTATACTTTCATAGTGTTTTATTTTTGTTTGGGAGTTCACTATATGCCCATAGCTGGGACCCTTAGAGGTGCTACGAGCCCGAGTCAGGGTTGATATGAATCCATCTCTTCTGTTCCATCTATGGGATAAAATAGCAGAACAGAGTGGATTCTCTAGCCGTGGTTGGCATCCAGTCTATGATAAGGACCAATCTGTATTTGATACCATATGTGAACCTGATGGGAAACATGTTTGAACTTTAACTAAATTCCGTTTTTTATAATTACAGTATAAACCAGAAATCAACTCTATGGGTGCTGAAAAAGATAGAACTACCCGGGCAGGCGGTCATTCTTGAAAATTAGCAACTGAATCATATTCGAAATCCATGTGAATATGAGGAAGCATGCTATTTTTTGTTTTATCGGCGAGTTTTCCCACTCTAAAGTCTATCGTGTCAGCGTTTAATTTGGTTTTGCAGACATTGCAATCGCTAATGTAATTTTACTCACCAAAACATTGGATGTTAAAGTACATCCGGCAACAAAGCCTCTGAACAGGACGATTTGAGACGTGGAATCATCTGTTAATTGTTGGTGTTCTCAGGTCCACCTTGGCCCGGGGTGGTAGCACCTGGGGTCAAAAAACTATGAAAGTTTAAAAATAGTTTTTAATAACAACAATACATTTTTGGGAAAATTATTACCAGAAATACGTTTAAAAACTTACCAGCAATTAAAATCTTGTTGGCATTAAATAACGCATTGAGTTATTAAAACAAACCAAACCAAAGCAAAAAATTCTGATAATAAAAACAAACCAAAATCTTGCTACGAATGTTGCTGCCACATTTTTTAGGAAAAAAGATATATACTGAAACGTCTCTCTGCTAATCACCTGAAAAACTCTTTTTTGTCTCCAATCAGCATGGCTGATGCTAACCCCCAGAACATTGACTCGCTGCGCCTTCTCGGGTAAACATTCTCGGCTGACATAAAGTGGGAAGATTATATTGAATCCATTTCTAGGTCTGCTACGAAGTTGGTTCTCTGTGTCCTGCTAGACTTTTTTCTTTCTCGAATTTATCTTACATATTTATAAGTTTACCATTCGCCACATATGGTACAGTGCTGCTGCTATATATTTTGAGATTATTGATAAAATCCAAAGCAGAATCTGCAATGTTATCGGCCCTGTCCTGGCATCTCGCCTTCAATTACTTTACAACCTCCGAAATTCTTGATAAAATTCAAAGAAGATTCTGCAATTTTATTGGCCCTGACTTGGTATCTCGCCTTCAGTCACTTTCTTTTCGCCATAATGTAGCTGTACTGTGCCTTTTCAATAAATAGATTCGTTTGTAATTTTTCTGGTGAATTTTCATTTATCATTGGGATTTCATTCTTTTCCAACCCCACCACAGACAAATTGTATATATGGGACCTAGTTAGAACTACATAGAGACTTGAGGTATTAGGGTGACTGTATTAAGAATGGTAAGTAAGAATGTTTTGTTTGGTGTAAGAATTACTGTGTTTGGGTCAGTACTTGAAGATATATAAGCTTTAGATAAGACAAATTGAAGACCAGCCTTCCCTTACCCACCACCTTTTAAACTTTTGCTACATTTTTGTATTATTAAAAATAAATATTACTTTCCACTATGGTACCAAGACTTTAAAAATTTAAGTGTGGTAATAGATTGTCGACAAGGTCTCATCATTTTACAGTTGAAAAAACGAGGTGTAACCGTAAGTTCTATGTTAACAGTTTCTTCTCTTGCAGTTTCTACTTGTGGAAGTTTCTTCCGAGTTCTTGCTTCCTGGTCAACTTTAAATGCAATATCAATCGTTATCATCTATCTACTTAATTCTTGTCCTATTAATTGTTCTCTCTCCTATGTCTCTCGTATACTCACACGCCCAGTAACCCCTTGCGTTTTAGTAGCTTTATTCTATTGCTTAGAGTGAAGTGATAAAAACATATATGGCAGGTATAAAATCATGATATACATGAAAACAGAATCCACTGACAGCTTCCAACTCTGCACTAAACTAATCTCCATATATGACTGTTTTAATACGACAAACTGGGGGTAATTTGACATTAAAATCTACAAGTAAACCCGAATTACGACGTTGAAATGTGTTCATAAATCTCCAAATATATCTCTTATTTTTTAATTCCGTTTTTCCACTTTATATCGCTTTTTTCTGCCTTAACTAATAACAGATGATAATCCTTTATACATCTTCCATTTTGCTTTTTCAAAGAACCTTCCTTGCATCCCAATTGCATCCCTCAGTAATAAAACCATTCTATTTGCCCCTTTTACTTAACCACACCCACAAGATTTCCAACCCCAACCCGCAGAGACGACTTATTCTCTGCAAGGGGTTACCACAAATCATGCCCTTAACGGACCTCCGTCCAACTTCCACCAGACCCCTCATCACTAATAAACAGACCCAACTTCCCGCTGTTTCTCAGCTCAAAAACCTGCCAGCACCTCAACGGCTTATAATTTGCTATGATCATCTTTTTCTTTCAAAAGAAAGAAATTAGAAGAGAAATGGAAAGGAGGCTGAAAAAGAACGGCAACGAAGAGCAGGCAAAAGAGGCTGAGAAAAAAAGGCGGGAAGAAAATCGAAAAAAAGAAATTGGGGAAAAGGTGGAGAAATAGAATAGAACAACCGGCTGGAAAAAGTGAGAAAAAAAGTGAAAAAGAAAAAAAAAATGGAATAAGACAACAAGAAAAAGAAAGAAAAAAACGAGAAAAAGGCGTGAATAAACGGTAGAAAGAGAGAGTGAAAAAAATGCTGGAAGAAAAGTGTGAAAGAAAGAGGGTGAAGAAAAAGTAGGAAAAACGAGGCTCGGAAGTGGCGGGAAGAAAACGACGTTAAAAAAAGAGGCTAGAAAAACGCGGACTGAAAAGGCGGGAAAAAGAAGAAAACATTAGCAGAAACGGATTGAAACTACGAGAGGAATAGATGAAAATTACGAACTAATATTGAAAAGAAAAAAGAAGATGGATACAAAATAAATTGGTTA